GCCTCAGTTATTCTCATTTATAAAATGAAGAAAAAATGGATTGTGAGGGGTGATGACAGTGTGAAGAGTGAATAGTAGAAGATAGTATATAGTGTAGTGGAACATAATAATACTTACCGCAGTACTATAGTTGAAGTTGTAGTTGTAGTTGTAGTTGTACCTAATCGCTGAAGAGGAAAAGAAAGACAAAGAAGATGTGCGAAATACCTGCATCCCTATATATCTACATACAGAAATAGTGGTACCGAGAGTATAATGGAAAGAGGTAAGAATAGACGAAGATCTAAACAAATATAATATAATAATAAGGAAATAATAAACGAGTGCATTACAATTGCCCCCCTTTTTTATAAGAGCTGCCCTCAGCGATTGTATAGATTGCTTGCTAGTAGATGTTTGCATTTCCGTATTGTAGATGCCGCTTGTTGATAGCAGTGTATCGATCGCGTCCCCTCAATAGCTTGTATACGCGTTCTTATCGATTCCTTAATGAGGTAGAATTGGTGGATTCTTTGGTTGCTAGGGGTTGCGTGCAGAGAAACAAAAAGAATTTCTTTTCCTTTGAAAATTTCTCTTCTTTTTTAACTTGACCATCATCAAAACTCTTTGCCCTCCTGCTGCGATTTTTCGTTCTTAATTCAATAAAATTTTCGTTCTCCCTCCCCCCCCCTTTTGTTAAATGGGCTCCCTCGGATATCCCGATTTTAAGTAAGTTGTTCTTCGCGTATTATTGTTGGTGTTCTCTGTCAGTGGCGTTATTAGCGTGGTCACATGCTTCACTAGCTTGTTCCAGTATAGCATCATTCGCTGTTCGCTTGTTCTGTTGCCCTAGCTTTAACCCTAATCTCGTGACGTACAACAGTCGGATTCCGTGCGAACGTTGTGCCTGGTCCTTCCAGGGCAGAGGTGTTAGAGGAAGAGGAGGGTGTGGAGGAGGATGTGGGGGTTTTGGAGGTGTTGAGCTCCGGGGGCTCCGTGGCGGAGGGGTTGATTGGAGAGGAGTTGACGGGAGAGGAGCTGGCTGGAGAGCCAATGGAGGAGGTTGTGAAGGCGCCGGTGGCCGCAGTGCCATTGGCGTCTGTGGAGCAGGGGGAGCGGGTGCCCCGGACGGTGGAGGAGTGGGGGGAGAAGATGGGGGGGAATGCCTTCGTTAACCGGATGTGCCGGAGAATGGGTAGGTTGATGGGGGAGGGGAGGAGTGAGGAGGCCAATGTACTGTGAAAATTGCATGGATTGACTCCTCCGCTGCCCCAATGGATGCCTTCTCACTCTTCAATACCCAGTGATTAGCGCCATGCTGATTGATAAACTGTCCTTTGAGCGCGATACATAGCCCAGGATGCCATGGGTTCTGCCACCCACCAACATGTGC